CCGCCTTCCGCTCCGGCGTCAATTCGCCTTGAATACACAGCGGCGTTACGAATCCTCACGCCGCACCATCGCATTACCACCACCGACGCAAAGCCCATGGCCGCCCTCAACGCCGGTCTCGAATCGATCTTCACCCCCGCGGCGCCGCTAGCGGACCGCACCTGGCTGCGCGTCGGCGGCCCGGCGGAGTGGCTCGTGCGACCCACGAGCGTCGAAGAGCTGCAAACCGTTGTCGGCCGCTGTCGCGACGCCTCGGCCCCGGCGCGCGTGCTCGGCGGTGGCTCGAACGTCCTAGTGCGGGATGAGGGCGTCAAAGGCGTCGTCCTGCAACTCGACCACGAGGCCTTCGGCGGCGTCCGCATCGACGGCACGAAGGCGATCGTCGGCGGCGGGGCGTCGCTCGCCTCGGCGATTAACGAGACCGTACGCGGGGGATTAGCCGGACTAGACACCTTGGTCGGCATCCCCGGCACGATCGGCGCCGCACTGCACCACAACGCCGGCGGCCGCGGCGGCGACATCGGCCAGTGGGTCGTCGAGGCGACCGTCCTCACCCGTAGCGGTCAGACCATCACCCGTCGCCAAGAGGACATGGTCTTTGGCTACCGTGAAAGCAGCCTCGACGAGTTGGCGATCGTCGAAGCAGTGTTCGAGCTCGACTCCTCCGACCCGTCGGAGCTCACCAAGCGGATGCAAAAGCAGTGGATCGTCAGCAAGGCGGCCCAACCGATGAGCCACGAACGCCGCGGGCAGATCTTCCTCAACCCCCGCGGCATGAGCGCCGGCATGCTGATCGATCAGGCGGGCCTCAAGGGCGCGTCGGTCGGCGGCGCCACCGTTAGCGACAAGCACGCCAACTTCTTCGTTGCTAGCGACGGCGCCACAGCTGCCGACCTACTGAAGCTAGCGGACCTCGTAAGGTCGCGGGTCGATGAACGAATGGGGATCGAGCTAGAGCTGGCGATCGAGATTTGGTAACGGACAGCGTCGCGATGCGCGCTATTGCAAGGCGCCTCGTGCTAGCTTGCCGTGAACCGCGTCCCACGGAGGGGACCGCCGTGCCTGATCCGAACTCTGCGCCATCGCGTCCAACCCCATCTCGTCCGGCTGCCGACCCGCTCTGGAAACTCCAGGGCCGCCGCGGCTTGCTCGTTTCGTTCGCGGTTCTCGCCATCTTCGGACTCGCCGCTCGTGGCGTGTGGGAGGTCTCCCGCTCGCAGGTCGCCCACAGCCCGCAATACGTGCTGACGCCCTCCAGCGTAACGATCACACCGCCGCCCGCCTGGGTCGGTAGCGAAGTCACCTCCGAGGTCTTCCGCGTCAAAGGGCTCGAAG